TTCCCCCTTCTAATGTGGTCCCTCACGTTTTCCTCTTGCTTTTTGTAAATGTTCACGTGAGAGGAGTCACATGTGAGGGATTCTAATGGTTATGATTTGTTTATCTTTGGTCTTATTGTCAGTGATTAAATGGGACTATCGTCTACCTGTTCTACAATCGCCACTACCATCAACATGTCAAATCTGTGGTGGAGCCAAGCATTGACGCGGTGGAGACCAGTCTCGGGATTTACATTGTCAGGCAAGTATTCTACTCGTTCGAGAGGAATTTATGAGATATAATGTGATCCGTGGGAGGCACACAGCGATTATATGTTGTGCGAGGCTTTGAAGCGGCAGTGGCGCAAACCAAGTCTGAGGCCCGCTCGATGTGCAGCCTCGAAAATACCCCCCAAACGGCAAGGACGTGGCCTCCCTGAGGCAATTCCAAGTATGCTGGAGATTGGAAGGCAGTCCTTCGCGGCATCCGATGACGTAGTATGCGTTGAAATGTTGGACTTGGAAAGCCAAGTTCCTCGGCGATTAGAGAACCGGCCACGGCGTTTCGGCCACTGGAGCGTGCATATACCCGGCGGGCCAGATCATATAGTATTAGAAAATTATCATGCGGGCGAAATTAAATGCCACCACGGCCGGCGATTTGGCTCCGGGCCTTGAGCTTTGACGCATTCATGTTGGTTTAGACGCCATCCCATGTTAATCACTGGACATGGATGACAGATAACATCAGTATTATTAGTATCCCGCACGAGTCGACTCCTCTCACCGTGGAACAATTTACAAGGCAAGAAGGAACGTGGGGCACAATAGAAGGGGGCGAATCCCCAACAATAATCTTCTGAGATACAGGGACTACATTTCAGAGAGTTACCGCCCCACTGATCTCCGAACCTTGTCAGGAGTATATGAACATTCAATAAATGAAGAATACAGAATTATTAAATATAAACACAGAATGTGTGGTGTTTAAAATGATTTACAACATGCACCACTGCTATTCCACGTTACACTTGTAGCCTACATTGAGTAAAAGTAGAAAGTTTAAAAAAAAAAGTCCCCCATTCATAATCTGGGAGCAAAGAGATCAATAAATGCAGGCAGGTGTTAAAAATAATCCAGAAACACATGTATAGTATAACAAAATAGGGAACAATTGAATGCACAGTTAACACTAAGAGTAGCTTAAATACCTCCAACACTTTAACTTCGTGAGGTTTTGAATGCAGGATGTTTTACTGGGTTATTCGCAAAACTGATGGTATTCATGTTGTTTCCAATAACTCGTGTTGAGCGGCTTGTTTTTAGCCTTCTATTTCTATCTCAGCTGAACAGAGTCCCCTGGATGTGAACTTGGTTCAGCTGCGATAATGGCTGGTCATAAAACAAAGGGAGTAGGCCTGCAGACAGGGAGGGAAGTTAAAAGTTGAAAGTAGTAAGTAGTCACGATGCCATTTTAGCAGCACGCCGAGCAGAAGGAGAACAACGGGGTGAGTGTCACACACCAAGGATCTGGCTTTAAACAGATTATTATGTACCTGCTGTTAAGATGATAACATAATTGCTTGTTAAAAATCAGGCGGTCCTCAGGATTCCAATGAGACTTCTGCAAACTCTTTTTATTTCCTGTTTGGCTTGATCCGTCAGGATTAACAGAACATGTACAGCGCAGTCAAAATGAGGCCTGTCTGAAGTTCTGAAGTCTGATTCTGATGTTTTTAGACCCAAAGGTTTATTACTATGAATCGGTTCGATTTGAAAAAAGAGTGTTATTAAAATGTGTGTGTGTGTGGTGTGTGGTGTGTGTGTGTGTGTTGTGTGTGTGCGTGTGTGTGTGTGTGTGTGTGTGTGTGTGTGTGTGTTGTGTGTGGGTGGTGTGTGTGTGTGTGTGTGTGTGTGTGTGTGTGTAGTGTGTGTTTTGTGTGTGTGTCCTGTGTTACCTGGTGTAACTCTCAGACTGGAAGAAGGATGAGTGATTTCAAAGATGAGGAAGAAGGACACACCTTCAGTCTCGGCAGCTGTCTGTCTTGAAGAGTGACCGTCTAGACTGGCAACCCTCTGAACTTCAGTGATGAACGTGGACTGCCTCAGACACAAAGTAAGCAGTTTCTGCTGTAAACTGACCTGAAGAGGATTCAGTTTTCATACAAACCTAATATATAAGGATATCAATATGCAATCCATAGTATCAATTGTATCCGTGTGGAATAACAGGTTTTAAATGGCACAATATTGATAAAATTCTAAGCTAAAAACTAAAAAAATAGTACGTTGAAAGACATTATTCACTACTTGGGGCCATGCTTATGTATTCAATTAGATGTTATTAATAATAGTGATAACGCTGGTGACTGTTGTGTTTGGCCATTAGCAGTAAATTAGGGGTGGGGGAAATAATCCCTACAGGCCATAGTTATGCGATACTTTTGCGTGGCGTATTGTATCGATTTAACGGATGCCAAGTATTTAAAAATCATATATAAACTGTAGCATATCTTCTCCGAAAGTGGTCGTATATAAAAACAGGAAGTTATGTTAAAGCACATGAATACAATTGCAATGAAATTACAAAAGTGTGTGTGTGTGTGTGTGTGTGTGTGTGTGTGTGTTGTGTGTGTGTGTGTGTGTGTGTGTGTGTGTGTGTGTGTGTGTGTGTGTGTGTGTGTGTGTGGTGTGTGTGTGTGTGTGGTGTGGTGTGTGTGTGTGTGTGTTTGTGTGTGTGTGTGTGTGTGTGTCTCCAGTGTTACTGGTTTGTCTCTCAGACTGGAGAAGATGAGTGGTTTAAAAGAGGAGGAAGAGGACACATCTTCAGTCTCCAGCTGTCTGTCTCTGAAGAGTGACTGGTCTAAAGATGTACCTCTAACCTTCAGTAATGAACCTGGACCCTCAGACACAAAGTAAGAGTTTCTGCTGTAACCTGACCTAAAGAGGATTCAGTTCTTATATAATCTAATATATTAAACTGTTCTTTAATAATATCATGTGTTCAGTATAGTACAGAACAAAGGCAGCAGAGTACAGGAAGCTATTTGAGGATATTTCAATATGCATTTATAGCATCATAGTATCAGTGGCATAAAAAGGTTTT